CAGCTGTTATGGAAAACAGCTAAACATAGAGTTATTACGTGACTCAGCAATTTCACATCTAGGTGCACACCCCCAAAGCTGAAAACGGGTGTCTAGCAAGAAACCTGTGCTTCAATCTTCATGGCAGCACTCATAATAATCAAAAAGTAGAAATAAATCAAGTGCCCATCAAGAGACGAATAAACAAAATGCATCCATAAACCGATTGTTATCTAGCTTATAGAGGAATAAACAGTGATACATGCTATATACCACACTGAGACTCTAAGCATGCTAAGAAGCCAGGCACTAAAGGGCACCTTCTCATTTGGTAGGAATTTGAACATCAGATCCTTCTGCCTCTCCGTCTCAGATGCTGGGCTCACAGGAGTGTACTACCACACTTGGTTTAAGGCCACATATTTTATGATTCTATTTATTGAAATATCTACAATAGGCAGTTGATTTCCTGTTGCCTGCAAGATGTAGCACTCTCAGCTCCAGCACCACCTCTGCCTCATACCACCATGCTCCCCACCATGATGGACTGCACCTCTGAACTGTAAACAAGCCACCACAATTAAATGTTTCCTTTATAAGAAAAAAAAAAAAGAAACAAAGAAAGAAATATTTACAATAGCAGATTAGTGGTGGCCAGGGACTCTTAGGAGAGACTAGGGAATGACAATTTAATAGGCTCAGGATTCTTCTAGAGGATGAGGGTTCAGTTCTCAGCACCTACATGGTGGCTTACTCCAGTTCCAGAGCACCCAAAATCCTCTTCTGGCCTCTGTGGGCACTGCACATACATCTGCACATACTTTACTCCCAAAATACACATAAATAAACAAAAAAAAATCAGTCAATCAATCAATTAAAGAAAATACATAAATAAAGCCTTCTTTCAGGAAAGGCACCAGAGTAGGATAAACACTAAAAAGTCATTTATTAAAGGGTAATATCTGAATTATTCTAAAAGATAAATATAAGTATATAGAAACAATCTATAAAACTTTCAGGGTAAGTGGTTTAAAAAAAATCAGCATACAGAGTATAATAGCAGGAAATCATGACAATAAAACTCCTCACATAAAACAACGTAGGCAGTCAGGCTGCTCAGCAGACTAAGGGGATCATGTGAGTCCAGTGAAGAACTACTGTTCAGGTCAGCCTAGGCAATATGGTGAGATCCTGTCTCAAAAATAATAAAATAATCTTAAAGAAACAGGCCATCAGAATGTAGGGCTGGAGACTGAAGCAAGGATCTTGAACATGCTAGAGAAGTGTGCTACTACTGAGCTGCACCTCCAACCCACCAAATACCCTGAAGGAATCGTTAGTCTACCCTCTAAGAGATACAATCAGTGTAGACAGGTCACAGGTAACATTACCTAGCTGCTGCATGACTGTCAAACTGCTCTAAGGAAGAATGTGATGACCTAACAGCTACAAAGCTGAGCAAGTACTTGACTCAGTAATCTCATTCTTTGAAGAAATACTCAAAAGTAGGAGGAATAAATAACCTGGGAAAAAACAAAGTCATAATCATGACAACAAAAATAAGAAAATATGAAATAATTATTTAATAAGAGTAAAAGGCACAATGGAATATAGATATTAGAAATGTGTATGTGGGCAAGGCAGATGACTCAGTGGGTAAATGTATGCTCAAGACTCCAGGATCCCTGTAAAAGGCAGACACATAACCAAGCAATGGTAGTCCTATGGGAAGATGGGAGACAGGCAGAGACAGGCAAGTTCCCAGAAGTTCAAGAGCTAGCTAGCCTGACGTATAATGTGGAAAAACAACAAACCAGCACACTATCCCAAACAAGGTGTAGGTAAGAGCCAGAGTGGGAAGTGAGCAGCAAACCTGAAGCTGTCCTCTGGCCACTTAAGCACTGTGGCACATGAGCCCACATTCACACACAAAGATGCACACATACAAAGAATATGTATGTATCTGTGTGTGTGTGTATGTGTGTGCAGTTTAATGACAAATACAAATTGTTGGTTAAGGGGTTGGAGAGATACCTCAGCAGTTAAAATGGCTTCTCTTCTAAAGGCCTTGGGTTGAATTCCCAGCACCCAGGTAGTGGCTCACAATGCCTGTAACACTTGTTTCTGTGGGTCTGATACCCTCTTCTGCCTCCACAGGCACCAGGTACATAAGGGTACACAGACATACATGCAGGCAAAACACCCATACACATAAAAAATAAGTAAATAAAATGATCAAAAGGTATGTAAGAGAGCTGGTGTAGTGGTACACACCTGTACCACTCAGGATGTTGAGACGGGAGAAAACTACAAGTTCTAGGTCATCCTGAGCTATACAGCAAGACCCTGCTCCCATTATCCCACAAAGGATAATAAATAATGTCCAGTGAATTAAAAACTGTTTTCGGGGCTGGAGAGACATTGAGTGGTTTAGAGTACTTGCTACTCTTGCAAAGGACCCAGGTTCCGCTCCCAGCACCAAAACAGTGGCTTATAATTGCCTGTAACTCCAGTTCTAAAAGGCGAACACTATCTTCGGGGCACTGTGTGTACATGGTGCATACACATGCATGTAGGCAAAACATATAGATTTTTTCTTAAAAAATTGAGTACATTGATTTCAGTTCTTCATATACATTAATGATATATAGAAAATAACCTATGGGTCAGTAGGGGTTCTTCTAAGATAAGTTATAGAGAGTAATTTCCCAGCATTATTTACAGACATTCCCTAACCACAGATTGATCTACGTATACATAAATACAAATCAATACTAGCAAAAAATTCTATAGAATCAATGTTATATGAATCTAGGTGACAAATTAAGATACTTAATTTTGTTGTTATTATTATTATTTGGTTTTTGAGATAGAGTTTCTTTGTATAACAGCCCTGGCTGTCCTGGAACTAGCTATAGACCAGGTTGGCCTTGAACTCACAGAAATCTGCCTGCCTCTGCCTCCCAAGCGCTGGGATTAAAGGCGTGCACCACCATGCCTGGCCCTATTTTGTTATTATTATAAACTTCTTTTTGTTAACATTTATTGTGTCTGTGCATGTGTGCACATATGTGTATGAGTACATGTGTGATGTGGTACATGTATGTCGAGGTCAGAGGGCAGTGTGCAAGTGTTATTTCTTTTATACACTGTGTGGTCCTGGGGATCAAACTCGGATCATCATGCTTATGAGCAAGCATTCTTACTCTCTGAGCCATCTTACCAGTCCTGGTTTTGTTTTTTTTCTTTTTCCTTCTTTTTTTTTTTTTCCCTTGAGAGAATTGCATGTATCCCAAACTCAACATGTACCAAGGATAACCTTGAACTCATACCCCTTCTACCTCCTAAAGGCTGAGATTACAGGTGTGTACCATCACCCCTGGTTTGTACGGTGCTGGGATTCAAATCCAGGGCTTCATGCACTATAGGCAAGCACTCTATCAACCTAGATGTACCCTCAGATCCCTGCTGTCCTTTTTTAGACAAGGTTTCACTATGCAGTCCAAGCTGGCCTTGAACTCACTAACCTTGGTTAGCTTTAAATTTGTGATCCTCCTGTCTCAGCCTTCAAAGTGCCTAGGAGTATAGGTTTGGCCACCAGGACCATTTCTTTAAGCCTCATGTTTAATGTTGTCCTCTGTCCTTGTCATGGTCAACATTGTCAACTTGCTGGGATCTATACTCACTGAAGAGACTAGCCTCTGGCATGCTTATGCAGTATTATCCATGTCAGATTAATTTAAGTTGCAAGATCCACTGTGAATGTGGGTGGTGTCACCCATGGGTTGGGATCCCAGACTGAATAAAAAGGAGACAGTGAGCTGAGCAAGAGCACTCAGCACTCTCTGCTTCTCGCCTGAGGATGTGCGGAGCTCAGCTGCCTCAAGCTGCTGCTGACATGCCTTCCCAGATGTGATGGGCTGTACTTCAACTGTGAGCCAAATAAACCCTTCCTCAAAGGGCTTTTTCTTCAGGGATTTTATCACAGCAATGAAACAAGGAACTAATGCAAATTCCACAGTGGGACTTTAAGAAAATGTTTTTTCCCAACGTATTTAAGATGTGAGCTAAATTCTTACAAATAAAACATTATTTATGTATCATTTTAATCAAGATGCACAAATATGCTTTAAAATATCATGGAAAGCCAAGTAATATCTAAACTATATATTCATGTATACATACATATAAGTAACTATTGGAAAACAACAGGAGTATTTGAATAAATTACATATACTGTCCACTTCTCAACCCATACACAACCTTGTGCAGACAATACTATGGCTCTGGGACAGTTGCTACCATAACTGGAGCTTTTAAACCTTCCGTCTACTCAGAACTGGAGGAGAGAAGGAGCCATCAGAAGAAAATGGAATGGAAAGCACAGTTTAAGGAGATGACCTAAGGGACAGCTCCTACAGTACATTCTCTCTGCTACCATGGGTCCTCCTAACAGGTCCCAAGAATCTACTCACTAGAGTTACACAGATTCACAGAAACGTTAACTTGCCAAAATCAATGTCTCTGAAGTAACTAAGCAGCATACTTCACTGCACAGTACTATGACTGTTCACACCTACATGGGGCAGAAACGACTGGAGGGGATGGAGGAGGAGATGCTGTTGAGCCTCCCACCACAGCAGCCTCACCAGGTGCCTCTTCTCCCCAGAATATGCCACTTTTCAAAACTACCTTCCTGCCCTCCTAATCAAAGTTTCCAATCATTAGACTCACAAAGCGTATTTTTTATTTCTCAAAAAAGTCTAAATGCACAAGAACTAAGCATTTTTAAGAAATCAACTCACCTGAAATTTATTAACAGTGGTGACCATGATATTATAATTTCTTTAGACTAGTTTCTATCCATTTATAACCTATTTTTCTTTGAAATTTTAACAGAACCAGACTTTCTCATTTTACATATTTGTTACAGCATAACAATGAGATAATTCAGTATTGCAAACAAATACATTGTATTTAAAGAACTCCTGTTAGCATAGTACTCATCAATTGATTCTTACTTTGCTTCAACTTGTGGAAATCACTGACTCTGTCCCTGGTGGCCTGCTTTAGTGAGTCTGTTTGAATTCTGGGTTCTCGTTCTAGGTTTGAGCCTGGAATTAAGCGCTGAAGAGGATTCAAAGGGTTCTGTTTTGAAGTACCAGGATTTTCATTCTGGTTCAGTTGTGAACCTGTGGAATAAAAACATCAAATTAAAAGAATGTAATTCGCTGGGTGGTGATGGCATATGCCTTTAATCCCAGCACTCGGGAGGCAGAGGCAGGCGGATCTCTGTGAGTTCGAGGCCAGCCTGATCTACAAAGTGAGTTCCAGGACAGGCTCCAAAGCTACACAGAGAAACCCTGTCTCGAAAAAACAAACAAACAAACAAAAAAAGTAACTCTTTAACAGAACAATTTCATGTGACCTGCTTTAGAAAAGCAAAAACCCATGACCATCTGACCTTGGGAGGTCACAGAGCTGTCTCCAGCTCCTGGTCTTGCATGGGACTGCAAGTGGCAGTTGTCATGCCCAGTTTTTACCTGGGTTCGGAGGGCCACCCTTAACCTGCAAGCCTGTGCAGCGAGCACGTCAATGACTCTCTCTCTCCCTAGTCCTAGTTCCTGTGTTGTCCTTTCCATTCCCTCCTCACAGCAGCTTCTTCAATCACAACTGCTTTTAGTTAGGAGAATAGTATTGTAAAATCAAATTCCTACTGAGTAGAAAACAAACACATTCCTAAATAAAGGGTTTAATAGATATACTAGTTTTAGGAAGCTTCTATGAGAACTATACATTTTGAATAAGGCAAATCTATTTTAGCCTGACAGAGTTAAAGGGAACACAGTTTAAAGTGGGACAACAAATAATTTGTGTGATCTTAAATAAAAGACTAAAAATGTATTAAATAAATAGTCTATTTGGATTTCTTCATTTTGTTAATTTGAAACAGGGTTTCACGTTAGCCCAGGTTGGCCTCAAACTAGCTTTCTAGTGGATGACTGTGGTGGCTGGATAAAAATGGCTCCCACAGACTCATATACTTGAATGCTTAGTCATTAGGGAGTAGAACTGTTTGAATGCTTAGGAGGTGTGGCCTTGTTGGAGGACGTGTGTCACTGGGAGTAGGTTCTGAGCTTTCAAAAGTTCACACCAGTCCCAGGCTCTCTACCTGCTGCCTGTGTATCAGAATGTGAGCTCTCAGTCCCATGCCTACTGGCATGCTGCCATGCTTCCTACCATGATGTTTATAGACGAAGCCTCTAAGACTGTAAGAAAGGCCCCAATTTTTTTTTTTTTAAGTTGCCTTGGTCATGGTGTCTCTTCACAGCGACAGAACACTGACTAACACAATCATATTACTCAACATTTTTTGTTTGATTGTTGAGATTAGGGTCTCACTACAAGAAGCTCAGGCCAGTCTTGAATTTGAGATGATCCTCTGCCTCAGCCTCTTGAGTGCTAGAATAAGCCATTTACACATTAAGCCATCACACTCATTTTAAAATCCAATTTTAAACATATTTATTTGTTTGTTTATTTACGTGTGTGTGTGTGTGTGTGTGTGTGTGTGTGTGTGTGCGCGCGCGCGCGCGCGCATGTTAGCATGCATGTGTACAGATCAGAGAACAACTTACACTTTTAGTTGATTCTTTCCTTCTACCATATGGGTCCAAAGACCAAACTCAGGTTGCCAGGCTTGGTACCAAGTGCCTTCACCTGCTGAGCCATCTAGCTAGGTTTTGCTTAATTTTTTTGAGATGGTCTCATGTGGCCCAGGCTGGTCTTAAGCTACTAGAAGATAATTTTTTCTTTTCTTTTCTTTTTTTTTTTTAAATCCTTCAAGACAAGGTTTCTTTGTGTAGCCTTGGCTGCCCTGGACCTAGCTCTGTATGCCAGGCTGGCCTCGAATTCACAGAGATCCACCTGCCTCTGCCTCCCGAGTGCTGGGATTAAATGTGTGCACCACCACTGCCCAGCCAGAGGATGATTTTTAACTTCTGATCATCCTCTGGTATACTGGTGTGATAGTTTGAATGTAACTGGCCCCCATAAACTCACAGGGAGTGGCACTACTAGGAAGTATGGCTTTGTTAGAGCAGGTGTGCCCTTGTTGGAGGAAGTATGTCACTGTGGGGGCAGGTTTTAAGGTTTCCTATGCTCAAGATACTGCTCAGTGTCACAGTCCTTCCTGTTGCCTTCTGATCAAGATGTAGCCAGTCCCATGTCTGCCTGCACACTGCCATGCTCCCCATCATGATGATAATGGACTGAACCTCTGAAACTGTCAGCCACCTCAATTAAATGTTTTCCTCATAAGAGTTGCCGTGGTCACGGTGCCTCTTCACAGCAATAGAAACCCTAAGACGACTGGTATTACAAGCATACACCACCACGGCCAGTTTTATGTGATGCTGAAGACAGAATCCAGAGCTTTGTACATTCAAAGCAAGCACTCTACCAACTGGGCAACATTCTCAGACCTAAAAGTACAGTTTTAGATTATTATTTCTCCCTGAACTTTTGCTAATCATTTAAAAATATTAATTTCAAGAACAAATGCTACTTTACCATGCTGCTAAATGGCATGTTCTACTTACTCTATAGTAACACTTGAACAGTAAGTAGGTTCTCAAATGAAATGCTAAGTGAGACTTTATACCTGGAGCCATGTTAGGTGAGAGAGGCTGTCCAGTTGGAAGATGGGAGATTGTTTGATGACTTTCATGTGGAGAAGCTAACACAGGGGGCTTCTTTAAAGCTACAAGAAAAAACAGATCCACATTATTCCCATTAATACTGTGATTTCTAAAAGTCAAACATCATGAATCAAATTACACTGCAGTAATCCTATGGTGCTTATCTTAATTTTTAAAAATAATTTATTATTTTATTTTATGTGCATTGGTATGAGGGTGTCAGATCCTCTGGAACTGGAGTTACAGACAGTTGTGAATGGCCATGTGGGTTCTGGGAACTGAATCCAGGTTCTCTGGAAGAGCAGCCAACGTTCTTAACAACTAAGCTATTTCTCCAGTCCCTGCTTATCCTAATTTTGTAATCTTTATCCTTGGCATATTAAATAACTCTTGTATGATTATTTTTTATATAATATTTTTATTGATTATTTGGGAATTTTACAACATGCACCCCATCCACATTCCAGTCTTTTCAGGTCTGCCCCTACTTCTTGTGCTATCTCCCCCCAAAAAAGAAGAGAGAGAAAAAACAACAACAACAAATCCAATTCATGTTGCCCATATACTCGCCGGAGCATTGTCAAACTCCCAGGGGCCAGCCCCTTAAAGACAACTGAGTCCTTCCCCACCCCCCCCCACCCCACCCCCAGAAGTCATCAACTGTGGAGAGCTATACTTCAGCATCCTTATCACAATTTTCACAAGTTCGTTTTGACAGCTTTCTGTCTGGGCTATTACTTTTTTGAGGATTGGGGGAGGGGGAGGGGGAGGGGCTGTCATAGAACCTTCTATGTCCCTCTTTCTCAATTGTGCACCTGCAGTTATCAATACCATTGCAAAAGTTGCTTCCTTGCTCTTTACAGTCAGTGGGAGCATGGATCCTGGACTTCCTCATGGTTTTTAGTGACTGTACGGATCACAGACCATAGACATTCACATAGTCTCTGGCATCAGCACATGCCAAAGACCTCAGCATGGTCTCCCATGGCAGTACAGACATTAACATGGCCCTCTGCAGCAGCTTGGGCCACGGACACCATCAGAACCCTTGATAGTAGCACAGACCAAGGACATCAACATGGCTTCTGGGGCAACACGGGCCATGGACACCAATATGATCTCCATACATCAACATGGCCTCAGGTGGCAGCACAGACCACAGACACCTACCTGGTCTTTGGTGGCAACATGGCTCCATGGGCATCAACATGGCCCCAGGCAGCAGAACAGACCATGGACACCTGCCTGATCCTAGGTGGTAACACAGGTCACTGACATCAACACGATCCCTGGCAGGACTACAGATCCCACCATGGCCTTCTGCAACAGCACACACAGACCATGGGCAGCCTTCGGTGGCAACACAGCCCCATGGACATCAACATGGCTTCAGATGGCAGCACCGAGCACGGGCATCTGCATGGTCTTCAGTGGTAACATGGGCCTTGGACATCAACACCTCACCTGGCTGCAGTAGGACCACGGACCCAGACATGGCCCTCAGTGACAGCACAGACCACTGACATCAACATGGCCTCAGGTGGCTGCACAGGCCACTCACATCAACATGACTCTTGGTTTCAGCACGGCCCACTAACATCAACAATGGCTTCAGGTGGCAGCATAGAACATGAACATCCACATGGATTCTGGTGGTAACAGGGGAGAGGGACATTAGCACAGCCCCCCTCCCCTGCTGCTACAGGACCACAGACAACCACATGAACCTCAGGGGATACCAACATGGCCTCCAGGGGCAGCATGGATTATAGAGGTTTGTCAAGGAGGTCCAATCCAGTGAATGAACCATGCTTCATCTTGGACATCCTGCCACTGCTCAGAATCAGGGTGATCATGCAGCTGGGGGGCATGTCCAGGGTCTGAGTCTGCTCAAGCTCCAGGATACTGCACATCACCTTGTCAGCCCTACTCAGCAAGGACATGCACCCCACCCACCCACCCACCGCAGCCTTTGCAGCCTTCTCTCACACATTACCTCCACTGCATCTCTAGTTCCATCTCTCTCCAACATGCAATCACATCTCCATTCCTCCATATTTCCCACCTCTCCATCACATACAGCCCTATGTTCTCCATCTCCCAGCAGGATAAACAGCGCAGGTAGCAGCCTCAGTGGCTCCATGTTAGAGGCTGGCCAGCCCAGCCCTATTCAGGAATGACCTGTTTCTGTGGAGCTCCAGGCCACTGCACATTTCCCTGTCATGGGTGCTGGCAGCCCGGTGGCTCATGGGACATGACCTTTGTGTTTGTGGTCTGCAGGCTGAGATGTGGCGGTAAAGCACCACGAACAGCTCTGTTCCATCATCTTTCTTTCTTTCCTTCCATAAGACTTGCCTTTTTTTTTTTTTCTTTTGTTGTTCAAAAGCTACTTCAGGCTCTGCAGACTCCTTTTCTGCTGCTGTGGAAACTCCATGGGTCTCTCAGACTCCTCAGAGCTCCACAGTGGGTGCTGGCAGCCCCTGCCATTTCTGTTTTCCTTCTTGTATGACTATTAATTGGCACATTGTACTATCTATTCTGTCTTGCTCACTACCATATTCTAACGTTCCTGGCACATAATAGGCATTCAGCAAAGACTTTATGAATAAACAAACAAGTTAATCTCTTCACATATAATCTCTTTACAACCATGAGATCTTTTTATATAAATAAGTACAAGCAAAAATTTGCACTTTGTAGATTAGGTAAGACATTAAGAATATGGTACCCTCTTGCTCAAAAATTTTATTACATTTGTGTTTACTTATTTTGTGTAGATGAGTGTGTTGGGGAAAGGTAGAAGCAGGACACCACAAGGTGGGTTATAGGGATTGAACTCAGATAATCAGGTGTGGTAGGAGGTGCCTTTACCTACTGGGCAATCATGCTGAACCCTCAATGTAAACAAAACAAAACATGAGTTTTTATTTATTTATATATGACAAGGTCTTACACTGTAGCTCAGGTGGGCTTAGAATTCATTCTTTAGCCCAGGCTGGACTCAAATATGTGGCTATAACTCCCGACTTTATGCTGAGATTACAGGCATGAGCCACCATGTTTAGCCCTGGAATTTTTGTTTTGTGTTTCTTAAACATTCATTTTATGTGTATGTGTGTGTGTGTGCCTGAGTGTATGTATGTCCACCGTGTGCATGCTGGAGAAGCCTGCAGAGGTCAGAAGAGGGGTCAGTCCCTGGAACTGCAGCTGCAGGTGACTGTGAGCTGCCATGCGGGTTGCTGGGATCTGAAGCCAGGTCCTTTACAAGAGTAGTAAGTACTCTTAATCACTGAACCATCTCTCCAGTCCCTGGAATTTTATTCTTAAGATGGAAAATGTTATTTGTGCACAAAGCTTTACCAACAAGAAGAAACTTAAGAGTTAGGAATTTCTTCTCTTTTAAGAAATGAAGGCTGCCAGGCTGTGGTGGCACACACCTTTAATGCCAGCACTCGGGAGGCAGAGTCAGGTGGATCTCTGTGAGTTTGAGGCCAGCCTGGTCTACAGAGTGAGATCTAGGACAGGTACCAAAACTACACAGAGAAACCCTGTCTCAAAAAACAAAACAAAACACACACACACACACACACACACACACACACACACAAATTTAAGGCCCTTAATACCAGCACTCTGGAGGCAGAGGAGGTGGATCACTAAGTTCAAAGCCAGTCTGGTCTACAGAGCAAGTGCCAAGACAGGCAGGGCAGTTATATGGGAAACCCTGTCTCAAAAAAACCAAAAAGAAATGAAAGCCAACAAGGAAAGATGATGATGATGATGATGATGATGATTATTATTGGTTTCTTGAGACAGGTTCTGTGTACCTCTGGCTGTCCTGGAACTCACTCTGTAGACCAGGCTGGCCTTGAACACAGAGATCCACCTGCCTCTGCCTGAGTGCTGAGATTAAAGGTGTGTGTCACCACAGCCCGGCTAAGATTATTTTTTTTACACATCACTGCTCACTGCACTATATCCCTTGGCAGAAGAACATGACAGAGAAGTAGACAGCTGACAAGAAAACAAAGGAGAAAGGAAACAAGAAGGGAAGAAAAGCAGGAACTCCTACCTATAAAGACTGGCATAGTTTATTTCTCACAGACTGTGTGGCAAATTTGATGGTATATCATCCTATTTTATGTTTTTACTAGATACAGAACTAGCTTTCTCTTGTGGTTAGGGGACAAGGGCCCTTAATTTTGACATTGAAGATACAGATGAAACTGAATACTTCACTCTTTTTGTGTTTTTTTTTTTTTTTTTTTTTTTTTTTTTTTGGTTTTTCGAGACAGGGTTTCTCTGTGTAGCTTTGCGCCTTTCCTGGATCTCGCGCTGTAGCCCAGGCTGGCCTCAAACTCACAGAGATCCGCCTGCCTCTGCCTCCCGAGTGCTGGGATTAAAGGCGTGCGCCACCACCGCCCGGCCTCTTTTTGTTTTTTGAGACAGGGTTTCTCTATGTAACAGTTCTGGCTGTCCTGGAACTTACTCTGTAGACCAGGCTGGCCTTGAACTCATGGTGATCTGGCTGTCTCTGCCTCCCAAGTACTGGGATTAAAGGCATGTGCCACCATGCCCAGCTTAAATACATCATTTCTTATTTGGGCCATCAAATACAGGCAAATCACCTACAATCTTTCCTTTCTACAACACAGAGGGCTAACATTAACATTGTGGTATCATGACAGAAGCCACTGTTCACATGAGTATTCAAAAAGAGCCACCCAAGCCTACATCAAGCTTTAAGATGGATAATAAAGCCTTTATTATTTTAAGCTGCTGCAATTTGAGGGTGTCTATTAAAAGATCATATCCAGCTGGGCAGTGGTGGTATATGCCTTTAATCCTAGTACTCAGGAGACAGAGGCAAGTGGATTTCTGTGAGTTCTAGGCCAGCCTGGTCTACAGAGGGAGTTCCAGGACAGCCAGGGCTACACAGAGAAACCCTGTCTTGAAAAACCGAGAGAGAGAGAGAGAGAGAGAGAGAGAGAGAGAGAGAGAGAGCGCGCTATCATATCCCAGTCTATCCTAACTAGCACATATTACTTGGGCCATTTTTACAGTTTGTTGAAATGATTTTATGTCAGTCACTTATTATTATACAGTTTCTAAACTTAAGTCTACAAGAAGTCTGGCATTTACTGAGTCCCCCACTCAAATACACAGCGCTGGTTCTCTCATCACTCAGTCACCTTGTTCCCACTGCCATCTGCGATGTACAACACATGCTTTTGCACGCAAAGCTGCTGGTGACCAGCAACTTACGCCTTTAGAGAAGAGCACTTTGCTAGGATCAACAGTGTAACTGTGACTGGCTAATGGACCCAGGGGCGGCTTGGTCTTGTCTATAAATCTGCTGGTCACTACTGTCTTAGCACAAGTCCTAAGACAGATGGAGGGGCTTTCTTGGCCTTTTGGCTAAGATCAAGTACAGAAGAAAGAGAGGCATCTCTATTACTAAATAATAATCAGTCATGCTAAGATGTATAGTATAACGCCTCCTGCTCAAGAACAAGGTGACTTTAAAAATAAACTATGATTTAGATCAGTGCTTCTCAACCTGTGGGTTGAGAACCCTTTGGAGGTTGAATAACCTCTTCACAGGGGCTGCCTAAGACTATGAGAAAACACAGATATCTACAATTCCTAACAGTAGCAAAATTACAGTTATGAAGTAGTAACAAAAATAATTCTATGGTTGGGGGGGTCACTCCAACATGAGGGACTGTATTAAGGAGTCACAGCATTAGGAAGGTTGAGAACCACTGGTATAGATAAGACAGGTAAAACAAGGCCGGATTAAACAGACAAACCTTTATGAGACTCCCACAGATCCTGAGAAGTGATAAAACAACAGAGCAGCAAGGTACCTTCACCTCTTTCTGTCTGTCTGTCTGTCTGTCTCTCTCTCTCTCCTTAGCAAAAATTTCATAAAAATTACATTAAAAAAAAAAATCCTGGAATTCGCCAGAGAGATGGTTCAGTGGGTAAGGCAACTGCCACCAAGCCTAACAACCTGAGTTTGAGTCACCTCCCACAAGTTGTCCTCTGACCTTCACACATGTGTCATGGGACACACTTAACCCCTAACCACACACACAAATAAATGCAATAAGAAGTTTGTTTTAAATTCTGGTAATTAATGAGCAGAATCAACCACACATCTATCTACAGGTTTTCTAGGTTCTACAAAACAAACAAACAAACAAACAAAAACCAAGAATAGAGCATGGTGGTACATGCCTGTAACTCCATCATTTAGGAAGCTGAGGCAGGAAAAATCTGAGTTCAAGACTAGCCTGTTACTACAAAGAAATTTCAAGGCCAGTCTGGGCTACATAGTTGCAGTCTGTCTCAAAACAACAACATAAAAGAGAATGGGGCACAGAAAAACAATATAATCACTTCAGTTCAATTGTCAGGTAATGTTCACTTACCAGCAGGAAGTTCATCTGCTTTTGCTAGATCATTCACTTCTACTCCAGGCATCCCTGCATCACCAATTCGTTTGACTTGTTCTGTCCAAGTAACAAAATATGAGACAATTAATTATGCTTATACTAATATAAATAAAGTAAGTTTTGATGGAAAGTAAAAATCAGTTTCTAAAGGCACAGGTTACAAATGAACACCTTTTTTAGAACTTAGTTTCATTTTTGTCCTTTTAATTTTTTCAAGAACATACTTTCATCAGAGTGTGTATGCGCATGCGCACCTCTGCCAGTCAGGGAGTCAGCTCTTTTCCTTCCACTGCTTGGTAGGGTCTCTTCTGTGTGCTGCTGTGCTGCATATACCAGGCTGGTTGGCCTGAGTGCTTCCAGAGAAATCTGTTTCCACCGCTACCTCCTCACAGATCTGAGATTGCAGAGGTATGCCCCTACAGGCGACTCTTTAATGTAGATTTAGGAACTGAACACTGGCTGTCCTACTTGCACAGCTAGTGTCTTTGCATCTGAGCTGACTCCCTGGCCCTGACAGGTTAACTAAAATACCTTACTATCAAAGGATCAAAATTTAAACAATACAGACACTCAATCATCTCAAAACTACAATCAAACATTTTTAATGACTGAACATATTTCAAAACAGAAAGAAATGGTCAATATCCTATCAACACAAAACAATAAAATATTACCTTTCCCATGTGGAATATGATTGCTTGAGGGTTCCTCATTCTTATTTGCATCATTTTCAGCCACATTTGGATTATTTTTAGGTGCTACATGATCATTTATACCCAATTCTTTTCCATCATTTGATTGACTCTTGTGGGCCTCCTGCCAAAGATAAAGATTTGATAACAGGATTTTTTAGTTTTGAATTATTAAGTCACTGATAAAACTATTAATTTGTGTTGAGTGTACGTGCACGTGGGGCCATGCAGGCATGTGAAGGTCAGAGGACAACTTTAAGAGTCATTTCTTTCCTTCCACCATGTGGGGAGTGGGGATCAAACTCACGTCATCAGGCTATTGACAAGTGCCCTTACCCACTAAACCATCTAAGGGCTACAAAAATACTTACAAAACCAAAACCAAAACCAAGTTAACAAAGGGATTTTCCTTCTAATGTCATCACCTTTGTGTGAACGAACAACTTTTAAATAGTCTGTTTCTACCTCCCCACTTTCTTCTGAGACACAAGGTTATAGTCTATGCTGCCTAAAATTTCCTAGGTAAGATAGACCAGGCTAGCCCCAAAAGTTTGGTGATTTTCCTGCCTCTGTCTACCAAGTGCTGACATTATAGGTCTAAGACACCATGTAGAGTCTTAAATATTATAAGACAACTTTCTTAAAACAATGTTTTGTGATTTAGTGAGGGGATTCCTCATTGTTTTTTAGGAAACTTTTTATTATGGAATTTATTTATTTACTTATTTTGGTTTTTCGAGACAGGGTTTCTCTGTGTAGCTGTCCTGGAACTTGCTCTGTAGACCAGGTTAGCCTCAAACTCAAGAGATTTGCCTGCTTCTGCCTCCCACGTACTAAGGGAAAAGACATGTGCTACCACCACCACCCAGCATGAAGTAATTTTAGGTTTATAGAAAATTAACTGCTGCCCACCTAGTTTCTCCTAATGTTAAAATAGATATTACCATGATATACCTGTAAAACAAAGACAACAGTACTACTGGGCTGGAGGTGTGAGGTGTGGCTCCATTGGTAGATTGCTTTCCTGCCATTCATAAAACGCTGGGTTGGATACCCAGAATTGCATAAGGTAGACAGGGAGCATACGTCTATAATACAGCACAGAGGCGATAAAGGCAGGAAAATTCTAAGTTCAAGGCCACTGTTAGCTATATAGGGAATTTAAGACCAGTCTGAGCTATATAAGACCTTGCCGCAAAAGAAAAAGATAAACTTGCTATTATTATCATTATTAACTAAACTTTCAAATTTCATGTAGATTTTTTTTTAACTAATTTTTCCACATGTCTTTGTTCTATTCTAAGACCTAACTCAGTATATATATTATAAGGTGTTTCAGTCTTCAAGTCTCCTTATTTTATTTATGAACACAGTGAATTTTTAATAATATCTTCAAGTCATGAAATAGTATGCTTTTGAGTTTTCAATGCTATTTTTGTCAAAACAACGTGAAAAATAACTAATAAAAGCTCGCAATGAATGACATGACACCACAGCAAACCTTTCTCCTTTCTTTCACATTACATTATACTCCTCTAAACTTCCAGGATCTCAATACCATCTTCTAACTACACACAGTGCCTACACAGTGGCTGATCACTCAAGCCTGTCTTCTTCCACCAGCCCATTCTCACACTCTTCAAAGCAGAAACAGATAAACAACAACTGTTTCAATCTGTGAGAGAGATACAACACCCTCAATATCCCCACTGAAACACTGAGGAGAAACGAACAAAACCTGATACCCTTGACTTCTAGTCCTTATATGCATGCTAACAAAGAACAAAAGAAGTATTTTTCATTACTGAGTCACTCTTTACTTTTAATAACAAGATTTTAAACAAACCACATTTAATCAACTGAGATTGAAGAGTATAAAAAATAACTCACATCCACTAATGGTTAGTGATCTTTAGAAAAATGTCTTCTATTTCTTTTCTTTCTTTCTTTCCTCTCCCCTGCCCCCGCCCCCCATGACAGGGTTTCCCTGTGTAATGGTAACAGTCCTGCCTGTTCTGGAACTCACTTTGTAGGCCAAGCTGGCCTTGAACTCACAGAGATCTCTGCCTGTCTTCATCTCCCTGAGTGCTGGGGTTAAAGTCGTAGGCCACCATGCCCAGCTGATTCTCTCTATTTCTACAGTGACCTTTATGATATCTCAACTCAAAATGAATAAATAAAGAATCTGCTGACTCAAAATGTATCAGTCAGGATTGGGCATGTAGCTCAACAGAACACACACCTAGTGTATAGGAAGCCACAGATCTCTTCCACAGCACTTTGAGAAAATACAAGTCAAAATTAGTTATATAGTATCTAGTTGTGTTCTTTCTGCTTTAAGATAGGGCGCCAGACTACTAGAGACTAATTTAAAAAAAAAAAAAGAAAGCTTGACAATTCTGTTCTGTTTTCTCAAATTCATAAAACAAAAAAACTGAAGCTAGGTGTGGGTGTCATCCCTCTGTAACACCAGCTCTTGAAATGCTGAGGCAGAGGGATTGGGAGTTCAAGGCCAATTTGGGCTACACAGTAAGATAATGTCTCAATTAGAAGAAAGAGTATGAAGAAAAGGAGGGAGAGAAAGGAAGACTTTTCAGTAAAAAACCATCCACCTTAAAATCTGATATTACCAACAATAACAACAACCATAATAATAATATTTGCCTAGCATATGCAAGGCCCTAAGTTCAATTCCTAGCCATAAGAAAAAACAAGTAAGCTGATATATGTTTACAGACACCCACTCTACTCAGCTAATACACATCCTTTTTAAAAATTAGGCTGGCTAGAATACTTATGTGTTATGATAAAAGCACATCTATTTCTAAATTACATGTATTATAACTAAAGCACATATTGTTTAGATACTTATTTTTAATTTACCTTTTGTTCCTGCAAAAACTGATCTGCTAATTTTTTAATATTTTCTTCATGTTGTGCTCTTAATTCCTTGATCTGCTGTCCACACTGAAAACTAAATTAGAAAGTCATTCTTTTAGACTCCATTGGACTGAGTTCTCCAAGTTTGTCCAGAAGCTGGCACATCCATTTAGAAAGACAAAACATCAGTCAGTGGAGAACAGCAGAAGAGAGATACAGTGAAATGCAGTCAGAATTATAGAACAGTTGAATCTTTAACCGGGGAAAAGAAATATTGCTAAAGTTAACCGAAGAAAACAAACAAACAAAACAACCAGAAATCAGACAGAGCAATCTTTCCTCAAGTGTTTTACAAATTACACCTATAAAGAAACAAGTGTCAAGGCCAACTTCATGAAAAGAGAAAAATACTGTGTAAAAGAAAACTGTTGGTTCTCATCAAACAGATGAAAAATGCTAGAATTAGGAGCCAATAAGGAATGGCGGCTATTGACTTGTTCAACAGTACTCTGTAACGAGTCTTTTTCTGTCCCACCAGCCAGCTCCCAAAGAATGACACAGAGACTTTGTACTAATTATGAAAGCTCAGCCTATAGTTTAGGCTTGTTCCTAGCTCTTATAACTTAAATTAACCCACTTATATTAATCTACATTCTACCATGTGGCATTATCTCTCTTCTATCTTAGACCTCCTGTTTCCTTTCCGTGTCTCTTAGCATCTCCCAAGTGCCTTGATTATCTCCTCCTACTTCTCTCTGCCCAGAACTCCCCTTATACCTCCTGCTTAGCTATTGGCCATTCAATCTTTTATTACACCAATCATAGCAATATATCTTCACACAGTATAAAGATATCCCACAACAGAACTCTGAATACCACAATACAAGTTTATACTATGGAATAAAGAGAAAGGAAGAAACACCACAGTATCAGAAAAAAAGTGAAAACAGATAAAAATGGTAACTTTCTGCTGGACAAGTAGTCAAAGGATACAAATAGATATTGTCGCAAATAGAAATAAGCACTTAATGAATACAGAGACACACGTTAATGTTCATATTATTATCGCAAATTAAACTTCCTATCTTGATATACTTGTACTATCTTATTCTTACATCTCCCAAATTAAATTCAAATTATAAACAATGTTGGTATGACTATGAGAAAATATCTACATTATAAATTAGTACATTTACTTAGAAAGCAATCTTTCATTTATGGTATACAGCAGCTAATTGATAAAACATTTTTAGTAAATGTATGTTTGTGAATATATACTAGTGAAATACTAAGGGGAAAATCTCTTACATAAAAATAATAATAATAAAAATGCAACAATCTGAAATTATTTATTTTACTTTACCATTATTATTACTGTGACATGTCTGTGTGTACAATGTGCGTGTCTATGTAACTACTTGTAGACATGTGAGTGCCACAGTGCTCCATGGCATACATGTAGATGTTAGAGGACAACTTTCAGGAGTTAGTCCTCTTCTTTCCCTGGTAAGATCCAGTGATCACACTCAGGAAGTCAGACTTGCACAGCAAATGCCTTTTACCCAACTGAGCCATCTTGCTGGCCCAAGAAATACTGAGAAAAAGAAAATTTCTACAATGGTCCCACAGATTGTAGAAACTAAATTTTGATAAGTTGATATGCTAGAAAATATATCATATCTCACTGTTTTAGTCTTCAATCCTGTAGACGTATGAAAACTGGTAGTTAAAACACACACATACATTCTACTCAGATAATTATAGTAGTAAGAAGTCAGAAAGAGTAAACTGTTGAACCTAACTTCTGGTGGACAGACAGACCTACAGAAAAACAGCCCTTTACCCTCAAGCTGACTAACAGAGTACAGTCTAAGAACTTCCTCTTCTCTTCATTATGGAGAGGCAGGAGTGAGGTGCACAAGCTCCCTTAGCTATTTTGAAGGCATGTCTCAGTGTTGTCTTCATCTTCTACAAGTTCCTCAAAAAGAAACACTCTTCTTTCAGTACTTACCACATCCAATTCAACAAAAGCTACCCTTAGTAAGATTTCTGTTTTACAATCTAGAAAAACCCAACATACTATAAGAGAGATGTTTTCATAGTGTTTAACATATTTAGATAAAAGATTATGAATTTCCCAGAGCCTTTGAAAGACAAGATAAAGAAAATGACAACAGGAGCAGGAGACAGGAAGGAGGAAGTGAATTACGTACACAAACTGGACAGACACTCGAGACGCACAGAGGCTGCGGCATGCAGCATCTTACCTCTCATATTCTAACCTCTTCACAAGGTATGTGTTATTTTTCCTGTAGTCTTGAAGCTGATCTTCTTGTCGAAGAAACTCCTGACGAAGCTCAGCCAGTTGTTCTAGCCATACAAGGGGAAGAGCCAAGGAGTAATCAAATTTACTTACTGTAATACTTCTTATTGAGAATCTATGGAATGGTCTTTTAATTATGTACATTTTCAATTTCTCATATCCTTAGAAGTTAGACAGCATGTGTGATGGTGAGAGGTCAACCTTGGTGTAGCTGCTCAGGAGCCCTCCACCTTGGTTGTTTTTGTTATTATTTTATGTGCCTGAGTGTCTGTCTGTGCACCACATGTGTGTAGGAGCCCTTGGAGGTCAGAAGAGGTGTGCGATCTCCTTCACCTGGAGTTTACAGATGGCTATGAGCTGCACGTGTGTGCCATGAATCAAATTCTACAAGAGCATTAAGTACTCTTAACTGCCAAGCCATCTCTCCAGCCCTTCCCCTTGGGTTTTTTGAGACAAGGTCTTTCACCTCATTGGGGCTCACTGAGTAGACCAGGCTGGCTGGTCAACAAGCTCCAGGGCTTACTGAGGCCTTCTTCATTGTTCAGATTGTGGCTCATGTACGATTCGCTGACATGACTCCAGTACTCAAAATGAAACTTGTTCTGCCAAATTTAAAATCCAGTATTCATCCAAATTGTAGAAACATATTTTGACCACTCATATAACAAATACCTCCCATTCTGCTATACAATAGCTTTAGTTGCTGACTCAACTTTCTCAAATTCTAAAAATATCCATACTCCATCATTGGGGTACCAGAAATTTCAAATATCACACATTTTCCAACTTTGCCATATTTTTTACATTTTTCTTTGGCTTCAACTTTGAAGTCTCCTGTACCAACCATGTTCCTTAGCAGGCCCATGTTAACAGAACACACAAGTGTTTCAGTAGGATTTGAACACAAGTTCTAAGATGCATCCTGCATTGCATTACATGCAATGGTCTTGCAGTCCCACTTTTTCTTGAGACAGGGTCTCTCTATGTTGTAACTCTGTTGTCCTGGAACTCATAGCAATTCACCTGTTTTTGCTCTGAGTGCTGGGCTTTAAGGGTTGCACCAGTATGCCTAAGTTAACTGTTCTTTTTTCTGGTGTTTTGAGACAGGGTTTCTCTGTGTAGCCCTGGCTGTCCTGGAACTCACTCAGTAGACTAAGCTGGCCTTGAACTCAAGAGACCCGTTTGTCTCTGCCTCCCGAGTGCTGGGATTAAAGCTGTGTGTCACCACCACCTGACTACACTGTATTTCCTTAATATGAGCTCAAAGATAAGGTTCAGTGAAGCTGCTACTGGACACTATTATAAGATTCTTGGGGTGCCAGATATAGTGTCGCAGGAATACATGCCAGCACCCACTGTAAGTTTGAAGCTAGTCTTGGTTACATAGGAAGAACTTAACTTTAAAAAATTATTCTAAAAAACCTATGGAATGGTGCCACTCACATTTAGGGTAGGTCTTTGCCCCTCCATTACATTCCCCTTAAAATACCCTCACAGACACACCCAGAGTTGTTTCTCCCAGGTGATTATAAATCCAGTCAAGCTGACAAGGAAGATTAAACCATCACATGCTCTAATTCCCAAAGGCAAATTGACAGGTGAAGTGATGGAGAGCTTGCTTTCCTTACCTATTCTTTCTATCTGTAACTATCTCCTCTCACTTCATCTAAAACAAAATGGCACATGGTCCTGAATGCTGTAAGAGAGCAGGCTCAGTCAAGCCATAGAAAGCAAGCCAGTAAGCAGTCACCTTCCATGGCCTCTGCATCAATTTCTGCTTCCAGGTTCCTGCCTTGACTTCCCTGGACAGTGGACTACAATCTATCAGAGGAAATAAGCCATCTCTTCCCCAAGTTGCTTTGGTCATGGTGTTTTAGCACAGCAATAGAAAAGTAACTAATATAATGTATTTTTAAAATTAGAGTTTTTTAATTTATTTATTACTCATTTCCCTACATTCCAGGTTTCTTTTTGTCTCTGGAGTATCCAATACATTAAGCTTAGAGAACCTCACAAAAGTATCCTCACATCTGAATGGGTAATGTTCACAAGTTACACACAATGCAGAAGAAGCACCCCATCTTTTTTTTCTAGAAATTTGATGGTCACACAAGCTACAGTTCAATTTTCTTTGAGAATTATATGTGTTTATGTGCACGTACAAAAGCATACATGTACATGTGGAGTCCAGAGAGCAAACACTGAGTGTCTTCCTCTATTCTTCTCCACTTAATTTTTTGAAATAGAATCTCTCATTGAACCTGAACTCAAAGACTTTGTGAGACTAGCTGGCCAGCCAGCTCCAAGGATCACCTGTCTCTATCTCCTTAGCATTAGGATTACAGGTGTGTACCACCACATCCAGCGTTTTATGTGGGACCCCGAGTCCTCATGACCACCACAGGCATTTTGCTAACTAACCAACCCTTTCAGTCCTGCTCTGAGGACTTTGTGTGTATGTGCACACGTCTGTCCACGCCATATGTGTGGAGGTCAAAGGACAAGCTTAAGTATAGGTCCTTGACTTCCACCTTGTTTAAGACAGGGTCTCTTTGTTCACAGCTGCAGACATCAAGCGGCCCATTAGGCTTTAGGTTTCCTCCTGCCTCTGTCTCCTAGCGCGCCTTAGGAGTGCTGGAGTTACAGATGCTAACATGTTATTTTGCCTAGATTTATGTAGGATTCAAATATTGGTTCCTACTCCTATAGGACTAGCAGTTTGCCAACTGAGCCATATCTCCAGCCCTTTTTGAGGATTCTCTGAAGACAATTTTATTGTACAAACTCTGTCTATGCACAAGATTAAAATACTGGCCTCAAACTCTTACACTTACTGCACACAGAGCAACAGTAAGTGTTTTTTTAAAAATATTTTAAAATAAAGAGATATTTTGCCATCAAAGTAACTATGTCCAGAAAATTTTATTTCTTTCATCCATCTATTTCTTTTTTTTTCTTTTTAAAGATTTATTTATTATGAATACAGTGTTCTGCCTGCATGCCAGAAGAGGGCACCAGATCTCATTAGAGATGGTTGTAAGCCGCCATGTGGTTGCTGGGAATTGAACTCAGGACCTCTGGAAGAGCCTTCTGTGTTCTTAACCTCTGAGCCGTCTCTCCAGCCCTCCATCTATTTCTTAATGCCTGAAGATTTCAGACATGAAGTAGTCCTTACCTTTACTCTATAATTAAGTTTCTTACCCTTTAAATGATGTATGTCTGCCATCTGATACGATATGTTGTTCTGTAGCTTAACCTAAAAAAGAAATTGTTTTCATTTTAATAAAATATGTAGTTTCTTTCTTTTTTAACACAACATCCTATGTAGCTCAAACTATTCTTGAACTCACTATGTTATTTTTGTTGTTGCTGTTTGCTTGATTTAGGCTTTTCTTTTTTTTTTTTTTTTTTTTTTTTTGGTTTTTCAAGACAGGGTTTCTCTGTGTAGCTTTGCGCCTTTCCTGGAACTCACTTGGTAGCCCAGGCTAGCCTCGAACTCACAGAGATCCACCTGGCTCTGCCTCCCGAGTGCTGGGATTAAAGGCATGCGCCACCACCGCCCGGCTAGGCTTTTCTTTTTGAGACAGGGTCTATCTATGCAGCCCTGGCTAGTCTGGAACTGCTATGTAGACCAGGCTGGCCTTGAACTCATACAAATCTACCTGTCTCTGGCTCCAGTGCTGAGATTAAAGGTGTGTGCCACCACACCTGCCTCAACTCTCTATAAAGTCAAGGGTGACCTGACTACTTGAGTTTCATGCCACCACGTCCCTAGTGCTCACATGCATGCACCGCTTCACCCACTAAGAATATGTAGTTTCATTCATATTCACTCATAGTCACTTTGAACTCGATCATAAATGCAAATAAAACTCTATTTATACTCCACCTCTATTTCAAAAGAATTAAGATATAAATTCTAATTCTGTAATGCTTTTTTAAAAATTGCATGGGAATGTTGACCTGATACACAGTATAACAATTTTCAAAAGTTTTTTGTTTAATTTATTTAACTTTATGTGCATTGGTATAAAGGTGTCAGATACCCTGGAATTGGAGTTACAGACAGTTGTGAGATGCCATGTGGGTGCTGGGAATTGAACCCAGGTCCTCTGGAAGAGCAGTCGGTGCTCTTAACTGCTGAGCAATCTCCCCAGCCCTGGATTTTCAAGTGTTTTTTTTTTGTTTTTGTTTTTGTTTTTGTTTTTGTTTTTCGAGACAGGATTTCTCGGTGTAGTTTTGGTGCTTGTCCTGGATCTCGTTCTGTAGACCAGGCTGGCCTCGAACTCACAGAGATCCACCTGGCTCTGCCTTCCGAGTGATGGGATTAAAGGCATGCGCCACCACTGCCCGGCTAAGTTTTAAAGTTTGAGTTGGAACATCATTAAATGTGTGACTCTCCACCCCAAATCTTATAGAAGACCTCTCACTAACTCAATATTAAGCTAACATTAACTGTTTGAAACATTCACTATCAAACCAAAAGTAATTCACACTTATCAAGCTTCTCCAGGGCAACACAGTGTTGGAGGTATGTGCTCAGGATTTCAAGTGGTGGTCACTGTCCTTTAGGAATCAGTATACATGAATGCCAATAACACAGGCGTGTGTGAGTGAGTGTGTGTGTGTGTGTGTGTGTGTGTGTGTGTGTGTGTGCGTGTACACAGAGATCAGAGGACAATTGCAGGAATTGGTTCTTTTCTTCCATCATGTGGATCCAGGAGATCAAACTCAGGCCATCAGGTTTACAGGCATCCCACCAGCTCTCACACTATCTTTTATGGCCACACACATTCCTTTCCCCTACCATCTAGTGTCAACATACTGGCAAGAATACAAAACAACAGAGAAAGCATAAGAGCATTTTCAAGGAATCAGTAGGCAAGGTGGTACCTAAAGAGTATAATTCCTATGGTAATTCAGAGATTTTATGGAAAAGATTCTGCCTGAAATAGGAATTAAAGGCTGGGTAAAACCTGAAGCAAGTAGAAAGCACTTCAGAAAAGAGAAAATAACCAAGAAATGTATAGAGTCTAGAAGGCCTGATGTATATAAGAACACTCCAAAGTACTATCTGGTGATACAGTAGAAAGAATAGTAGGACAAGGAGCTAGGGGGTGGTTTAGGCAAGGAAGGACCTTTAGAATCAAGCAGGGTCTTCAGCCTAAGTTCCAATGACTTAATACTTAAGGTGAAAGTTTATCCATAAACAAAGACCAGATGAAACCAGAACTGTCCCAAGAGCAGGAGTCTAGCAGTCTCACTGAAGTCTTGGGGGCTTTGAAGAAGGAAGTTAAATAATAAAGTTAATACACAGTTATAAAAAAAGGAATGAAGCACTAGTATATGGCACAACACAGGTACACTTTGAAAACACTACACAGGCAAGTGAAAGAAGAAACCACAAAACGGCAAAAAATTTCTAATCCCATCCATATGAAACACACCGAAAAGGCCAGTCTACAAGGACAGAAAGACAATGGCTGCCATTTGGGGAAGGAAGGTAACAGGAGTCTCTAAGGATAAACGAGGGCCTTTCACAAACATATGTGCTACACCTGAGCAGTATCTCCAGCATGCAAAGTGACTTCTCATGTGCACAGGATTTCATTTTGGGAGATGAACACATTTTAGAATTAGACAGTGGTGACCAGCTGTGTAACACCGTAAGTTTGCTTCTAAAAAACCCCACTCAACTATATACTTTAAAAGGGTCAATTTTATGTTGTATCAATTGCATCTACATTTTTTTTACATACATTTTATAATGCAAAAAAGAAAGAACTGTAAGAATACTGAGTGTGCTCTGAACAGCACACAGGAAAATGCAGCCAGAACAAACACGTGCGCTCAAGGACCTCATTATTCAGGAGAGACACTAAAGAAAACAGGCAATTACAGCACGGTAAGATAAATGATATCATGAGGTTCTACAGACATGTAGGAGAACACAGTAGAAGCAGCATGTAAATCCACTCAGGAGAAAACAGAAGGCTTCTGGAGATGACAAGAACGCCTGACATGACTCCTGCAGAAAGAGTGATGCTCACCCCAGGTGGAAGTAGGGGAGGTAAAGAGGAAAGACATTTAAAGATGCATCAAAACTTAGAAGGGAAAATCACTGAACATTCTAGGAGCTGCAATCACACCCAAGGAGCTGGAATAATGAATTAAGGTGAAATAGTAAGATGTTTCTCTTAAAAATTAATCAAGGTCTATAGCACAAGGGTCTTACAAAGAAGGTAAGCACTTCCCATGGTATCTTAAAAGGACTTTTAGGCAAGAGCATGATTCCAATTTGTAATTTTGAAGTAAATTTGGCTGCAGTATAATGAGTAGATCAGAGGGGACAAGACCAAAAGAGGAAACCAGGTCATTTTATAGGTGAGTCTCTAAACTAGGCCTGTTTGTATAGGGATGACAAGCTAAGGATCATTGGTTACAATTTACTGGTTGGAGGAAAATTCCCCCAAAATATTTTATGATATTGAGTTACATAAAATTCAATTTCCAATGTCTATAAATAATTTTGTGGGAAATGAGCCACACTGCTTGTGTCTATGCCTGCCTGATAGCTGTGGTGATAGTGACAGAGATAGTATATGGTCACCAAAGCCTCAAGTACTTACTGTCCAGCTTTTTATAGGAAAGGTTCAATTACTCCTAAACTAACAGAATAAGAATAGAAAGGCAGCACCTTGAAATGGCTAAGTGGTTAAAGGTGCTTGCCACCAAGTCTGATGACCTGGGTTTGACCCCTAAAACTCACATGGTAGAAGGAGAGAACTGACTCCTGAAGTTGTCTTCTAACGTAAGTACAGTGGCATGGGCATGTTCCCCACCCTCAATAAATACATGTAAATGAGATACACATGGGGGCGGGGTGGGGCGAGGACACAGACAAGTCAGCCAAAGAACAGTTTGCAGTACAATAAGATATGAGATGCTAACTGAAAATCACTGGAGCTGGAGTCACAGACAGTTGTCAGCAGCTCAACATGGGTGCTGGGAACTGAACTCAGGTCCTATGGAAGAGAACAAGGTGCTCTTAATCATTGAGCCATCTGCCTAGCCCCTAATTTGGGTTTTTATCACTACTGATTAATTTTAAATTAATTAGTAATTAATTTGGGTTTACCACATAGCCACACACACTGCTAAATTGCCAATGTTCTAGAAAGCTCTAGAAATACTTTAGCTTTTCTTCTAAATATCTTCTAGATAAGAAACAGCACAAAAACTCAATGCATTTTTTTACTCCTTATCTCACAAAGGGATTCCCACAATCTGGGTTCTATGTGGCCTCCTTCTTTCCTTACTAGCTTTCACGGTGATCTCTTTGTTTGTTTCTGGAACTGGGAATTAAATCCAGGGCCACAAACCAGGGAAGTGTTCTACGACTAAGATACACCCCAGCCTACTTTCAGGCTTTTTACTTAAACTATGTAAGACATTCTTACTTCAGTACACAAGAATAAGTTTCTTTGCAGGTAAATGGTGTAGATGGGTGGATAGACAGACAACAGTCACAAACATAGCTCATCTCTTGCCCAAATTACATCTAAAATCACACACTGTGGTGGTTTGAGTAAGAACGGTCCATATAGGCTCATATATTTGAATGCTTAGTCACTAGGGAGTGGCACTATTAGAAAGGATTAAGATGATTAGGAGATGTGTCCTTGTTAGAAGAAATGTGTCACTGGGAATGGGCTTTGAGGTTTCAAAAGTCCATGCCAAGCCTCAAGTTTCTCTCTACCTGCTGCCATGCTCCCTGCCACGATGATAATGAACTAAATCCCTGAAACTATAAGCAAGTCCCAATTAAATATTTTCTTTTATAAGAGCTACTTTGGTCATGATGTCTCTTCACAGCAATAAAACAGTGACTAAGGCAGACACCAAACCAGACTTCAAAAATCTAAAATGGTGGCTAGGAATACTGGCCTTCAGTTATATAGTCTTAGTAACTGGACAGGCTGAGGCAGAAAGACTGCTTGAGCCCAGGAATTCAAGGCCAATGTGGAAAATATAGCAATATACCAAGTATAAAGAAAGAAAGAAAAAACTTTCTGTAATGTTGAAAACACCTTGCCTGGTTTCAGAGTCTACTAAGTAATCTCCTCAGAAGCAATCCATTAAAAACAACTGTTGATATTCTCATCCGCCCCTTGAAATCTCCCCCGTGGGCGCCGCCCTGAGTCTTGAGTAAAACCTCACTCTAAGGGAAAACTCCTCCCCTTCCTCTCTCTCTTC